TTAATTACCAAAAATAGTAATAAAATATAAGATTTAACGTAAAAAGGAAAATATTTCCTAATTGTACATCTGGTAAAGTGTTGTCTCCAGAACATTATAAGGACTCTTATAATGATAAAATGCAAATAACCTAATTTAGAAATCAGCAAAGGGTTTAAATACTTTTCTTCAAAATGTACAAGTATTGGTAAGTACACAAAAGATGATCTGCACCATCAGTCAAAAATGAAATACAATTTCACACCCCCAAGAATGGCTGTGATTAAAAAGACAAACAACAACAAGTGTTGGGGAGGGTGTAGAGCAATTTGAACCTTCACAGATTACTTCTGGAATGTTGCAGCCATTAGGAAAATAATCTGACAGTTTTCAGCCTCACTTCTGGAACTGAAATTCAGGTCCACACAGATACTTGTGTGTAACTGTTCTAGCAGTATTACTTGCCATATGCCAAAATAGAAATAACCTAAAGGCCTGATGACTGGGTAAGTGGGCGTGTCGTGTCTGTGGACAGAACGTTACCTGGCAGTAGAGAGGAGTGCTGGCATGTGTCATGGTAGAGCCTTCAACATACCGTGCAGAGTGAAGAAATCAGACACAAAGGCCACCACACCATGACTCCATTTACACAAAAGACCAGGAGTGCGGGAATCCATAGAAACAGGCAGGTTGGTGTTGGCAGGGGCTGGGGGTGAGGAGTAGCTGCACAGATACTGAATTTCTTTCTGATGAGATAGAAATTTCCAGAATTAGATGGTGGTGCTATCCTGTGTGGTTGTCTGAAAACCCAATAAGGTGAACACTTCCAAGGGGTGAATTTTATGTATGTGGATTCAAAATCAGGGGAAAAAAATAAGAAAATTCCAAGAGGTTATGTCTACTGACCAGCGAAAAAAGTTACATTTTCTACAAAGGAGAAATTAGGCTGACAGATTTCATATTGCAGCATTTGATGCTGGAAATAATAACAATAATAGACAAATAATGCCTTCAACATGATCTGGTGTTTCCAGGAAAGAACTGCATCCTTTAGCATTTGAATATGAGTGAAGCATAGCAGCTGCTACCATTAAGGTTACTGCAAGCACTGGCAGCAGAACTTCAGCCACGGAGAAAATAACTGAAGCAACAAAGTGTGAGGAACACAGATATGGCGCCCATGGCCAGGGGGATGTATGTGACAGCCCTTGAAGAAGGTGCTGCAGTTCAGCCACTTGGAGGGACAACTCTCCAGGATGATGAGGCTCAGTTGCCAGGCCCTACTCCCCACTGAGTGCCAGAGCTGTGAGGTTGACACTGTCTCGGGGAAGGGGCAGCTTGGGTCCAGTCGCCTCGGGGCTTTTAACCTGCGAGAGCCCCTCCCCAGCCACCTACAGCGGGGCACAGCTTTGGTGGACAATGTGAAGAATAATTCTTGTGGTTATAAACAAGGGCAGACCAAGATGCTCTCAATAGTAACACGGGACACTGGGGGAATTAAAGTTAACTCCGGATGCTAATTCAAATACTGCATACGTGGTGATCTATTACCACTAACCAATAAAAGAAGTGAGAGTATAAAATCCTAAATTGCAGTGGAGACAATGAAGGAAACAAAGCAATCTGGCAGACAACAGGAGAAAACAAAGAAAAAGCATGATGAACAGAAAGCCCAAGACAGATAGTAAAAATAAATCCAGATATACTAATCTCAATAGGAGTTGTTTAAATTTCCATGGTATAACAATTCTCATGTTGGATAAAAGTAAGAAATTCCGATTTGTGGTTCATAGAAATTCCTCGTCTGAAAGTATTGAAAGCAAAGGATATAAAATTTTTAAAAATAACTACTGTGGGCCATAAATATCAGACATAGTAATATTATCTTCACAATAGTTGTCTATTCCATCAGGTATAGCAAAATCAAAAAGCAGAATAAAACCAATCAAAACAACATTGAATAAAGCAAAACAATCAGAACAAAGCAGAACAGTACTAGAGTTTCAAAGACAAGATAGAAGGAAATCCCATATTTGCTATACTTCATACAAACAAGTAGATTGTAAAGCAAAAGGCGTCATGAGAAGTGAAGAGGACTGAAGTGTCAGGAACCTGGGTGCACCTTACCCATCAAGGAAGAATCACAGGCTTGATTGGCGTGGACACACTCCAGTGCTTTGTTCTCATCAGAGGAGGATAAACATCCTTCTCAAACACACAGGACTTAATAAAATCCAGTCAGCCCCTCAGCTCTCGTAGAAGTCTCAATACCAAAGAATTTGTTTCTTGTAGACACTCTTCTCTGATCAAAATGTAAAGAAATAAAATAAAATTAGATAACAAAAGTCATGGAAAGTTTAAACTTAATTATAAAATATGTAAGACCATATGGCAATAAACACGCTCTAATCCAGACCTGTAGTAGACAGCAAAAGCGCCGTGTTGAGCTTTGTTGCCTTAGATACAGACATTAGAAAAAAGTAAAAAAAAAAAATCTTTATTTTTAAATTTTTACTTTCTAAAATTAAAATAAAAAGAATAGGGCAGACTCAAACCCAATGGAAAGAAGAAATAATAAACGTAACACCAGACTTTACTGCAGTGGAAAACAAATCATACTGACAATCATTCAGCTAATTAAAAGCTAATTCATCTGCAGTCATAACTACATAAACCACTAAAGTCACTGATCAAGGAGAGCAAAGCTTAGGGAAAACATTCAGAGATTAAGGGGGACGTAATTAGGAATAGCAATTACTTAAGAATCATGAGGGAAACCCAGGACCTACTTTACGCCAACACAGTGAAAGTCACAGATGCTTTTAGCTGTCAGAGTCCAAGTAGAGCACACAATGCCAGCCCCAGTGCGAACAGGCGAGGAGGGAGGGTTAGGGTTAGGGTTGGTTAACGGGAGGCACTACTGTCTCTGTCCTCCAACTGTCAGCCCCTGTGCTGCCCGACTCCTGTGCAGAGGCTGTCGTGGCTTGGGGCACGGTTCAGGGAGCTGTTCCCATTCAGGCCAGGGTAGCTGGAGGGAGAAGAGAGGGCCCATTAGAGGTATGGCTAGTGAGGACCTCTCCTACAACTGCTGGGGTCCCTGCACCTTTGCTGAGCCCCTCACTTCTTACACCTGGTGGCTGCTGTGGTGCAAGACACCTTTTTTGGTCCCAATCAGCCATGCATGCCCCCTGTTTCCGGACAGGAAGGGTGTGTCCAGCGCTGGGTGCAAGTAGACATCCCGCATGTCTAGTCACAGGCTGGCCAGGCTTTGGCGACCTCTCCCTCAGGGAGTAAGCTTTCTTTTCTTCACTCCTCAGCTCTTGATACTGGGAGACCAGACCGCAGAGGGGGAGCCTTTGAGGTAGCCAAGGACACCCTAGGCCATTCCAGAGAAGGGATGAGAATGCTTCAGGAGAGCGATGGCAGTCAAGACCACGAGGCTGGGGAAGCCTCTTGGCTTTAGCAACAGGGAGTTGAGCAAAGTTTAGCCTTCTTGGGGAGAAAGGAGTGAAGGCCGGCAGTGCAGTGAGGCCTGCGCTGGCCGAGGGTTAAAATCCTAGCCGTGTATGGCCAGCACTACAGCATGGTGCTCAGTGGGAACCTAGTGGAGGAAAGTCCTTGGTTTATATTTTTGTCTCTCCTTCCTTCCTTCTTTCTTTCCTTCCAAATGGGAGCTAGACTGGTTTCCCAGGCTGCTCTTATGAATTGCCACCAGAGGTGACTGAAGACCATAGAAGTGTGCTGTCCGGCTGCTCTGGGGTGAAGCGTGCAGTGAGGGTGTTAAAGGCCGGGCCCATCCAGCTGGGGCAGCCACTCCATACCACTGCAGGGCTTTTAGCGGCTACTGGAAAACCGTGGAGACCCTCACTTGTGGCTGTGGCATGCCAGTCTCTGCCTCTGTCTTCTCTGTCTCTTGAGGGACACTTGTCATCAGATGTGGTGTCCTGGGCAGCTCAGGGTGGTTTCATCTTGAAATCCTTAGCATAGTTACACCTCCCAAGATCCGATTGCCAAGCAAGATCCCACTGACACGTCCCAGGAGTATGACTACATCCCCAGAGCTGTGGCTGGACCACTGCTGGGACAGCTGTGTGTAAAGCTATGTGGTGGCACAGGGCTCCTGAGCAAATGGCGGAGGCCAGGACCATGAAGCAGACTGGCAGACTGGACTACAGAGAAATAGAACATCTCCCCACGGTCAGGAACAGCATAAGCATAGAAAGTCTCACCGTAACTGGGAGAAAGTGTTTGCCATGTGCATCACAGACACAGCCAGCATGGGCGGCAGAATCGCAGACCAGGTACAGAACAGCCGAGACGGGGAGAGCGTACTAGCAGCATCAGCAGGAGAGTGTAATGACAGCAGAGCAGCAGTACAAACCAAAATAGTGGCAGAAAACAATTTCCTATTATAGTTTGACGGAATCATTTTTTTGTGATGCAATAAATAACCAGACTTGCCAGTTCCGAGTGGCCTCAGGTGAGCTCCAGGTCCCCTGCCTGTGGGGTTCCTCAGGCCCCCAGCCCTGTGCACCACAGGTTTGCATTGAGCATAGTGGTAGGACCCTCTGCAGAGGACTGGGGTGTTGTTTGCCAGTGTCCTGACTTGCCTGGACTTGGAGGCGCCTTGAGCCCCAGGGCGTCCATCTTGGGGTTTAGTTAGCAGCGCTGTGCGAGGTGCCCACAGGGCTGGTCTCCTGCTCCTTTCCAAAGGCGAGATTCAGTGGGAGGTTTCATGTTCCAGGGTGAGCTTGGCTGTTCGATCATGTGCGTCTCCGTGCGATCTCTGAGACATAAGCAACTGGATTTTGTGCTTTCCTTAAGAACCGGGAGGCCTGGGGCACACGGACTGACCCACGAGGGCTCTTCTGCTGCCCTTCTGTCAGTCTTGGGCCTTCTGGACCTTGTGGTTCCCCAGGGAGGTCCCTTGAGGCTGGCAGCTGTGGATATGGGGCGGGGGACTGGGGACCCAGCTCTGACCTAATGTACTTTCTCTTCTACCCTCATCATCCGGGTCCCAGCGAGATGAAGCAGAAGCTGGAGGAGGAGGGCAGCAAGTGCAGCATCCTGGCCAAGCACCAGAAGTTCGTGGAGCACTGCTGTATGCGCTGCTGCGCACCCTTCACCTTCCTGGTCAACCCCCGGCGCCGCTGCGGGGACTGCAAGTTCAATGTCTGCAAGAGCTGCAGCTCCTTCCTGAAGCCTGAGAAGGCCTGGGTCTGCTGCGTCTGCCAGCAAGCCAGGTGAGTGGCCGAGGGCCGGGGCACTTCTCCAGCTGGGCCAGGCCGTGGGTCAGGCGAGCAGCTGAGGGTGGCTGGGGACACCTGTGGAACCTTCTCGGTGGGGACCCTGGATGTGCATGGAAGGAGGGCTAGGGCGGCGCTGGGCTTGCAGACGCAGCAGTGTTTCGTGCTTATCTGTCCTCACTGTCCCCCAACAGCATACTGGATCTCAGGAAGCACACAGCCTGCAGGAAGCCCAATGCAGGGTTAAGCATCAGCTGAGGACCCTGAGCTTGGGAGGTGGGGGTAGGGGGTGTGCATGTGGGCCTCACTTTGCTGGTCTGTGGGGTCACAGGGCCCCAGGGCTGGAGAAAATGAAGCAGCGGCATTGCTGTCAAGGCTAAAGAGAGTCGTGCCTGCAAGAGGCTGGTGACCACCCTGTGAAGGACGTGGCTAGCTCGCAGCACCTGTTGCCTGCAGAGGCAGGCACAGCATTTCTGGGAGAGGTGAGAGTTGGGGAACTGAGGAATTTGTTCCGAAAGTGTCTGGTGTGCTTGTTCTTTGGGATTTTTAAGGCTCTGCTGACCCTGGTGTGGCTCTCATTTGCCACGTGGTCCGAGGCACCTGCTGAGATGTGGTCCGAGAGCGCACACTCGATCACCTATCTGACCCCGCCTCTGCCCTCCGTCCTCACTGCCTTCTGGGTGCTGCTTCTAACTCACATTCTCTGATGCATCGAGGTTCAGGACAGCAACCGAGGAAGCTCTTGAGGCTCTCAGGAGCCAGGCTTTGAGCTCCACACAGCGAAGCCGCTCAGAGACACCATCTATAGGCCATGGTTTGCTGTGCACCTAACATCAGGGCTGGGACTGCCCTGTCCTGGGCCAGGCTGACACCTCTAGGAGCCTGAGTCTCCCATGGCCCTGTAATGAGGGCCGTGGGCATCCGTAGGGATGGCTGCATCATGCTTTCTGCTGTACTGAGAAGCCTGGCAAGCTCAGACGCTGAGACACGAAGGTTGGGTGCTGGAGGAACAGCACAGGCTTGACAGACACCCGGGAGGTGGGGATCTGAGCTGTGAGCCACGTCCTGCTAACAATTGGGAATTCGTTTGCTTTCAGGCTTCCCATAGCTTTGCTCCAGCCACACTTGGCTGATGTGTAGAGAGGGGTTTGCTCCAGGTTAGGGTCCTGCAGAGGTCAGAGGTCAGAGATGAGATGGGCCAGCCAGTGGTGGGGTCAAGACGTGTGGAGAGTGTGGGAAGGTGAGCTGGAGGGACTGGAGTAAGGGCAGGCTTAGTGAGAGCATGGTGAAACTCAGCAGCAACTGCTGTGGGTACTTGAGAGCGAGAGTCGGAGAGAGGATGGTCTGTGTCGGGAAGGCGAGGGAAACAGACCGCTGTATGGAGACCTTGGGAGCAGGAAGCCAAGGACACAACGCCAGTACACATGGGTCCTGAGATCCAGATGGCAAATGAACCCCGCTGACAAGGGTCCCTGGAAGGAAACTGAGGGCCAAGAAGAGGCCGAGCAGGAGTGGGCTACCAGGGGTGGCTGAACATTGGGTTTCTGTACCTGGCTGGCGGGCGAGTCTCACACAGCACAGGGATCCACTAGGACCATTGTGCCCTGCCGGCCTCTGTCCCCGACGGAGGATGCTGTGAACAGTGATGTGTCTGCTCCACTCCACGCACAGCGCAGATAGCAGGTGTGGAAGGCTCAGTGGCTTCACAGCAAAAGGCATGGTGCTGGGGAGGGGTCGGCACTTAGAACATAGAAGGACCCAGAATCCTTCTGGGACCCCCCAAGTGGTTTCATGAAGAACACCCTGGACAGAATCCAAAGAGGGGCAGAACCACACCTCCCTGTGACCAGAGCATGGGTCTGGGCAGTTAGGGTAGCATCCAGGTACGGTCCCCAAGGGGCTATAGAGTCGGTGAAATCCTAAGTCCAAGCAGTTGTGAAAATACTGTGCCTTACTGTGCTTCAGCGCTCACCCACAAACAAAGGAGTTCAGGATGTAATGCAGAATGTTCCCTTTATTTCTCTTCTCCACGGGAGAGAAAACCCTCCCCACTCACTCAGCGATGAGTCGCAGGAAAGCACGGAATCACAGCCCATCCACCCCGGCTGTCACCAGGGACAAGCCAGTGAAAGCCCCAAGGTCTTACCGGGCGGCTCCTGACTGCAACCTCTGCTCTTGGTTCGTGCCATTTTATCATGAGACATCGCCAGACACTGGAAAGTAAGCTGCTGGAGCAGCCATGCTTTAAATCTCCATTTCGTCTTTCCCTGCAATGAGATGGGAGGCTTCACCAACCCTGCATCCTTTCCATGTCATCCTTCATAACCGAGTCTCAGTGGGGACAGTAGCAAAGCAGGTGCCATCATATCCCTGTGTGAAGACACAGCCAGACTCACCCCACATTTCCAGGGAAAGTCACAGAACCATGCGAGGAGAGGCCGGGTCCCGGTCATGTCTGCCAGGGCCTTGGAGAAGTTGGCTCAGTCCCTGCTTCTCCATCCATTCCCAGTCGGTCACAGGACCTTGTGTAGGGAAGAAGTCTGTGAGGTGTGTGCCGTGTTTTTGATCCCTGAAGGTTTCTCTAGGGCCCAGTTAGTCGGGGACACTGGGATAGAGTCTCAGACGGAGACTTGAGGTGGACAAGCTTGCAGGGCACCCAGCTCACATCCTTAGTCTTCTATTTTACATATACAGAAATGAGCTGTGTTGCAAACCCCTTGCAAAGAATATTTCAAGAATATTTCTACTTGTGTGAAGTGTGTAAAATTTCAAAGAAGTAACTTTGAAACTCTGTCCAATTTTTTTGAAACAGAAAATTAGTTTCCTACATGTTCTTTAGCTCTGAGTACAAATTCTCCCTGGTCTCCATGGAGGGTCTGCTGAGGCTCCTCTGCCTGAGTCAAGGTAGACTCTGCCTGTCTGTCCTCAGCAAGGAGGAATCCGATTCCGGCTTTGTCTTTGTGGCCTTGTTCCTGCATGTGCGTGTTCCAGAAATGTATATCGATTCCGTGGCTGTAACACTGTGTGGGTGAGTGTGGGTGAGAGTGTGAGTGAGCGTGTGTGTGAGTGTGTGAGTGTGACCAACGAAACAGTTGACTGAACTCTCACACAGCCACCGCTTGAGCCACGTGTGTTTCCCTTCCTCGTGAAAAGTCACCCGCCCCTGCTGCCTTGGTTTCATTCCTCGCTGTCTGTGCAGTGGTTCCTATGTGCCAATGTGTTTTGAGATGCTCTGGGCCATGATTTGTTGTAAGAGTAAAAATTCTCGGGCTGGGGATTTAGCTCAGCGGCATAAGCGCCTGTCTTGCAAGCAGGCAGTCGTGAGTTCGATCCCTGGTACCAATAAAAAGGAAAAAGACAAAAAAAAAAAAAAAAAAAAAGAGTAAAAATTCTCATCACAGAACGGAGGGGCCTGGAACTGAGTGATAGCACACAGTGTCTGGAGAGAGTGCTGCGGACTGAGCCGTGCTGTCTGCTGGGCTCTTCTCAGTCAGCACCGGGTGAGAGGTGCAGGCCTAACCTGAGGACCCCCAGAGCAGCAGCCTGCAGCCTCCACTTTCTTCTCTGCGTCTTGGTGAAGAGGGCGGGGTGCTCCGGTTGGTTCTTCAGTTGGGTAAAACCACTGTAGGAATTCTTTTTTAAAATTCCTTTTAACGGCTGCAGCTGTAATTGTCATCGTTGGTTAGCTCTCTGTCAGGCTTCATGTGTTTTGCATTCAAATGCATTTCTGTTGTCTGCTTACAAATTTTAACTTTAGAGATTAGTGAACAGCAGATGAGTTTATAAGAGAATAAATGATGGATGACTAATTGTGGAAGCAATCCAGCAAAGAGTAAATCCCTGAGTCATTTCTTCTTCATTTTTTTATCATATGCAAATATATCTTCCTGACAATTGATTAACAAGTTTCATTCAAACATTATAAGCAAGGATGGGCGCGTTTTTGCATTTTAAGGACGCACAATGCAGACTCACCCCAGCTGTGCACATCAGCCAGTATCTTTTCTGAGGTTGAGTTGGTTCAAGAATTTTGGTTCTACTTTCCTCGGGAACAAACTGACTTTCTAATTTGTTGCTTCATTATGACAGTTGTTATCTCTGATTTTTGTCGTTTTGTGCTTTTACCTTTAACAGACCAATTTGGGACACTGTTTTCCTGGAAAAAGAAACAATTAGCCTTAGAGCTGACATCTAAGCTCTCATTATGCCTATGGCACTTATCTCTGGTTTCTTGAGCAAGCTTGAGGCCTCCATTTATTTCCTCCTGGACTTGTGATCCTTCATTTCTATCTGTTCTCATTACTTGATACTCTCAGAGCCAAGCGGTGCATAGGTTTGCAAAACATCTGACTTGGCATAAACTCTACAGTAGGTTTTGGACTTACACAAAAGATGTAAATCCCTGAAGAAGATGTAACGTTAAGTTATGATTGCCATGAGCGAAGAACTTTCACAGGTTGACAAATAAATGGGAAATACTGAAACTTACTAGAGATAAAAGGTATAAAGATTTTGCTTCACTTAGACTTCTTCTCATTAAATTAGTGATTTTTAAAGATGCATTCTCCTTGGTGTTGCCAGGCTGGAGTGAAGGCAGGGTGCCTCTTGGTGGCTGGCAGCCACTGAAGGCAGAGCCATCGCTAAGAGCTGGTCACAGACCCAGGCTCTTGGACCCCATGATTCTGTTGTTGAAAACACACAACTAACAGCATAATGGAATAATTTTAAAAGTTGCATTAAAATGAATAGAACTGAATTATTTGTAATATAAAAAGCATAAATTCCCGTCTTGGTTACTTTTCTCTCATTGCTAAGATAAAATACCTGATGATCTAAATGAAGGACAGAGAAGTTTATCAGCTCAGTTTATAATCAGCTGGCTCCAAGGCAGGGTGGCTCAGTGAGAGGCAGCAGAAGACAGCAGAAGCAACAAGAGCAAAAGCAGGTGATGGCAAGGGCAGAATGTTAGGATTCTAATGTAGTATAATGTTGATAGACTTCATACTGCTTCTTAAACCTGTGTTGTAATGTCAAAGTTGTGAAATGATGTGAATAAGCACGTTTGTGTATCTGGAAACCTGTTTAAAGAAATGTGTCCGGTTGCCAAGTTGGTAGGGCATAGATTGTTATGATTGATACATTGTGTTGACTTGAGAAGTTTAGAAGTTTAACTAATAGACTCAGCAGGAGACCAGGATCCTCACTTTTTTAAAAGATTCTCAGCCTCTACAAGGGGAGGGCAGGAGGTGGTGGGAGTGCTACCCCTGCCCCAGGGCAAGTAGACTGCTTACAATATAAGGGAGGAAAAAAGACTTGTCCCCCACTTTTTGCTCTGGTTGCTTTTCTCTTTTCTGCTGCCTTGAGCTGTTGCCCCTCACAAAGCTATCCTGCCTTGGAGCCAGCTGGTTATGGACTGAAAACTCCACAAACTGTGAGCTAAATAAAACCGTTCCTTCCTTTATTTTGTCTCAGCAATGAGAGAAAATGCCCAATAGTAGATTATGGAAGTGAATTAGGATGCAGTCAGCCTGACAGAATACCACAGAGCCTTTCCAATAATGTATGTGGTTCACGAGCATATGGGAAAACATTAAATCCTGCAGTGCAATGTGTGCAGATATAAATCACTGAACTAAGGAAAATAGAAAAAAAAAAAAAAAAAAGAGGAAACATGATATCAGTGCTGTCAGAAGCAGCTGCCCAGGCAAAGTAGGTTCACCGCCAGCCCACCCTGCACATTTTGGGCTTGTGACCTCCACAGTCTCAGGAGCTGGAGACAGAGTGAGACGGAGCAAGTGGGTCACCCATGTGTCTGGCCTGGAGAGGGGCTGCAAGGGAAAGCTGCCTGGTTTGTGTAGCAGATCCAGCAGCCCCATCTAGAGCTATTTTAGGAATTTCCTTTTTCAGAAAACATGAACTTTCCGAGAGGGCATGCCCGAAAATATGTATTTTGCTCTCACATAAGGATGATTTTCAGAGTGCCGAATTCTGAGATCCTATCATTGTTTCTCTGGGTTTAGAAAGCTCGTATACTGCTGTATTCCAGTGCTGACTGCTACTGGTTAAAAATTCTATTCTTTGAATCCTAAAATTCATCTGGACACAGAAGAGACAAGAATAGCAAAGGCAATTCTGAGCAACAAAGACAAGGCGGGGCATCACAACACTCGTAACTACACTGTGAAACTGTGATTCAAACAATGTAGTCCTGGCAAAAGAAAGAAAGAAACCTAAAGATCAATGAAACAGATTAGAAGATGCAGAAATAACTCCATACATACTAAGCCACTTTATCTTTGACAAAGGTGCCAAACACACTCACTGGAAGAAATGATGTTGGAAAAACTGGCTCTGCACATGCTGAAGATTAAAATAGACCCATATCTTTCACCATGCAATAAACTAAATTCAAAATGGATCAAAGACCTAAATGTTGAAACAGAAACATTAAATCTGCTGGAAGATGGAATAGATAAAACTCTCGAAGACATTAGTCAAAGTCATGTAGGCAAAGACTGTATGACTCAACCCCTATTGTATAGGAACTATCACAAAGAATCAGTAACTGGCATATCATCTTACTAAAACACTTTTGCTCAGCAAGAAATCCACCAACAGAGTGAAGAGACAAAAAATGTTTGCCAGCTGTTCCTCAGACAAAGGATTACTATCGAGAACATAAAAAAGAACTCAGAAAATCAGACCTCCCAAATTTAAAGGCCCAGTTCAAAAGTGGGCACCTGAGAACACACACTTCTCAGATGAAGAAATACAAACAGTAAATAAATATATCAAGAAATGTTCGGCATCACTGGTCATTCAAGAGATGCAAATTAAAACAACAGTGAGATTCCAGCTCACCCTGGAAAGAATGGATAACAGCAAGAAATCAATCTTAACCCATGACAGTGGGGCTGTGAGGGAAAAGGACCCATTGTGTTGGTAGGAGTGTAGACTGGTGCAAATATTGTGGAAATCAGTCTGGAGATTCCTTAAAAATTAAGATTGGAAGGCCCTTTGTTCCAGCTACTCCCCTGCTGAGTATCTTCCCAGAAGCATTAAAAACATCATACCACAGCGATATGTGTGCACCCATGTTTACAGCAACACAATTTGTAATCGCCAGATCTTGGAAACAACCCAAATGCTCATCAACTGAGGAATGGATAAAAAGGATGTGGTACTTTTGTACAATGGTGTACTACTCAGCTATAAAGAAAGATTGCTTCGAGACTTTTAGAGGTAAATGGATGCAATAGAGACAATACTCATAAGTGAAATAAATCAGACTCGCATGTGTGAATAACATATTGTCTACTGTGAGAAGCTGAAAGAAACTTTGTGTGTGTGTGATGATTAAGATAGTTTTGCTACTAATTTCTCTTAGTTCATTGAAAAGAAAGATTTGTGCTATTGTTTGGACTATTAAATGCTGATATCCTGTGCTCTGAGTAACTAATCTAAAGATACCAGTATGCAATGTATTAACCATTGTTGCCCTCTATCTTGTTTTGAAATTTTGTTTTTTTCTCTTTAAAATAAAAAAAAAAATCAATGCTTTTAAATTCCTGAAAATAAGGAATTAAAGTTACCTTTTAGAAAGAGAAAAAATTATTCTCTTAATTATCATTCAGTTAAAAAATACCGTGTTTTTCTGCTCGGAATGCCCATGGATTCCTTATTTTGGAGGATTTGGGCTTTTATAAAGATGAATCTACATGGGTTTGTCTGTTTATTTTGCTTTGTGTTTCATCTATTCTGCTTGAAAATTGGTTGACTTTTTTAACTAAAATGTGTTCACCGTTCTTATCACCGTTTGGGGATATTTTCTGCTGTTTTGTTTTTGTTTTGATTTTTCCCCTCATCCACCTTCTGTTTCACCCTATTTTAGAATCTGATTAGATGCCGAGCCTCCTGAAATGATTCCACATGAATGTTCTCTATCATATATTCCATTTTTTGTTTCTCATTGCATAATTTTAACTTCCAGATCTTCCCTTAAAAATCTAACCAGCCTGATTTCTGTTGTTCCTCGCTCTCTGATAACTTGTATTTCATATCACTCTAAGCTACTTATGGATCCAGTATTTTTCCAAATCACTATTGATATTAACTAGAATTTACTTTTTTCAGTATATTGAATTATATTTACTTATTTTCTGTATCGTTGTTAGTTTCTGCTGGCCTTTTTATGCCATTGATTAAATGCCTGGTGACCCTGTCGTCTGTCTGTTTAGACAAACTGTACTTGATTAACAAAGGTGGCCGGCAAGGCCCTTCTCAGTTGGTGCTAGTCCTTCTGGTAACTTTTGTTTTGAAACAGGCTTGGGGAAGGGCTGGCCAATGGCCCAGGTTCCTGAGCTGGGCGGATAGTAGCAGGCCAGGCGAGGTCTTTAAGTTCAGGGCGTCCAGGGCCGACCCCCCACCTGCTGCATGGTGTCAGCCGAGGCCCTGGCCTCCCCGCCTCCCCTGTAGGACCCTGTCTCAGTAGACAACTGCTGTTTTTGGCCTGGGACCCATCCACCTTGGACTGCTGGCCCAAAGTTGCTTGAGAACAGGAATGGGGAAGCCGAGAGGTCCCGGTGTGGTCCACGTGGCTGCTGCTCCCTGCATCAGCCAGCTCAGGCAGACCCTCAGGCGGAAGGCCCAGCTTGGCGCTGCGTACTTCTCCACGGATCAGGGCCCTTCATGTTGTCCCTGCTGTCCTGGATTTTCTAAACCCAGTGTGTGTTACCACAAGGATCGTGGGATAAGTAACAACAAAAGCTGTTCTTAAAATGCGAGGGCCTTAGACACACAGCCTCACCAGGCACAAAGGAAGGAGCCCCGTCTTTCCGCGCTGCAGTCTGTCCACTGCCAGCAGGACGCCGTGCCCTGAGCCGATGGAGGCCGAGGCTGGAAACTGCTGTCCCACTTGTGCTGGAAACTGTGTCGCACTTTATTTTCCCGAGCTGGATTTAAACATTAACGCAGGAAAAGGGTCAAACCCACTACTAGAAAAATGTATCAGTTAACGTTTCTGCTTAACGAGCCCCCCAAAACTTGGTAACTCAGAACAGTGAGTGTTTACCCATCTGCTGCTTGCTGGACCTGGTCAGGGCGGGGACTGACCACTTGTTTCCACACTGCGCAGCCCAGCTTGGGCTCACTCATGTGGTGCCCGGGTGTAGGATTCCCGGAGCAGTGAGTGGGAGCCAAGGCACAGGGCTCGCATCTCGTTCATGGCTTCTGCATCCAGTCACAAGGCCGTGCAGATTCTGGGGGCTGGGATATGTGCATGGATCTATAGAGACCGTGTTAGTTTTGTGGCTTACTGTTGCCACCTCTAACCTCCTCGTGTCTCTTGCTGTCTCCGCAGGCTCCTGAGGACGCAGTCCCTGGAGTGGTTCTATAGTAACGTGAAGAGCCGCTTCAAGCGCTTCGGCAGCGCCAAGGTCCTCAACAACTTGTACCGGAAGCACCGGCTAGAGTCTGGCGTGGGCTTCGATGTCCTAGGTACCTCTGCCTGCGGCTCTGGGCTGTTTGGTGGCTTTAGGGTGGAGGAAGCCCAATCGGGAAAGCCCTGGACGCTGGGCATGCTCACCTGGGCCAGAGGGATTTGCTTAAGGTTTCAGTGATGATGAGGAACAGGAGCCAAGGGCTGCAGCAAGGCTCTGCTCAGTTTGGCCTGTCTGACTTCTGTGTCCCTGCTGGCTCGCACTGATGTGTTAGGAGCTGGGAAGAGCAAAATATTGCTGCCATGGACATTTTAATTCCAGATCCCTAGAAATGAAAGAGGAAATGAATGAATGAGGATTGTTGCAAATTCGAGATCAGCCTGGGCTACAAAATGAGCTCAAGGCCAGCCTAAACTGCACAGTGAGACCCTGTCTCAAAAAGGAAAGAAAAGAAGAAGAGAAAAGACAAGACAAGACTTACCTTCATGCTCTGGAAATGGCTGGGTCTGATTGAGAGATCCAGCCTGTGAACTGAAGCTGCCTCCTCCTCAAGTCTTCCCACTCTGCACCCCCTACCCCGTGCGATGGGAGAGGTGAGCAGCAGCAGTGCCAGCAGGGACACCAGGGCTCCACAGCAAGGGGCAGTCTGCAGTCCCCTGTGCCTAGCCAGCGGGAGGCGTGGCAATCAGAAGAGGAACTGCATCCTATGACGCTAGTGTCCATGGTCAGAGTCCCTTCCCTCCAGGAGCTCTTTAACATCACTATTTTCCATGGCTGTATTCTCAATAAGGTCATCACATCTGACTTAAAGCTGCGCCAGCTGCTTAGTAACCAGGAAAGGAGGGTTCCAGCTCCTTGAGGCTCTCGCCCTTCAGACTCAGGAAGCCGGCTGCTGGGAGAGCAGCTCCCGGCCTCCAGCTTGCAGCGCCGATAGCTGCGGCACAAGATGTCTGTGTTCTTTACTGACTTTTTTCTGGCAATAGAGACAAGAAAGGAAGCAAACTTAAAAGATATGCTGTTAACAGCAGTTTTTGACCCAAAAAAAGAGATCTCAGGAAGGTCCCAGAATAAGCCAGCTGGACCATCCACACCTTCCCTCTTTCCATCTTGTGCCCTGGCTCTGCTCTTCCACCCCTCTGTGTCACTGAGTATAAATACAGAATTTCTTCACCATTCAGGGATCCCACAGCACAGGGCTCAATTCCAGCCTCCCCTTTCTCTCACGGTCCTGTGAGGGGAGGGGCTGTGAGCCCACTCACTCTGCAGGGCTGTGAAATGCTTGCTGCCAACCTGGAAGGAGAGCACTGGGGGCTCAGGGACACTGACCAGGAAGGAAGATCTGGACACTGCCCACTATGACCTTTCCTTGCTCTCCAGTACCAGCACTGGCCACCATGCCCTGGGGACTTGGGAATATCACTGCCAGCCTCTGCTGTACACCGTGATATGCAGGTGTTCCCAGAGGCTGGCTCAATATCTGGTCCACCTGTGTCCCCAGGACCGACTAGCATGGTCCTACAGGCCCAGACACGTCATGGCAATATCAGGGTTGATGGTAAAGTGGTCAGTTGTCTCTGTTTAAACCGAGATTTCTTTGATAAACTTGGAGACAGCAGACAGTGGGCAGTTTGTGACTCAGTGAGAAGCCCGCAAAAGTATAGAGACTCAGTCCTGCAACACTGGGATGAGTCCCACAAACCGCAGGGAAACTCAGGCACACACGGTGTGAACAGATTTTCCCTGTGTTGTAAGGCCTCCTGGTTGTGTGGGGTGAGTAGGGGTGACTTGTCACCCAGTCCCCTCGGGGTGCATCTGCAGCCCTGGCCATGCATTAGAATCACTTAGGATCTCTGAGCAGGTGCCCCAGTCCCAGACCATCATCTTCCACATTTACTTCTGAGTCTCTGGAAGTAGAACCCTGTCTATCTGTCATCTATCTCTCATCTCCCATCACTTGCCTATAATCTGTCTATCTTTCTGTCATCTTCCCACCTAGCTTCCATCCCTCCTCCCTTCATCCATTTATCCACCTTTAAATGCACGGAGTTATTTAAAAGACTGAGACCCTCAGCTAGACCTGCACAATTATCAGGCGGTCAAATCCTGAATAGGGTGTTTCCATCTTCTCCTCTGCCGGGGAAAATTCTTTTCAGGACCTTGATTGTCAGACTCAGACCTAAAACTCCACAGTGCACAGGTGTGAGCATGGACCGTGTCATTCACCTGCCACACTCATGCACTGAGGTTGCACACATCACCTGCTGAGTCTCGTGGGCTGCTGTGCCATGCGTACCTCATCTGTGCTCATCCCTTTAGCTGTCCCCAGCTGCAGCCCTGGTCAGGTGACTGCATCAGGCCTGAAGAAGACCTCCAATCGGGCAGATTGGCCTAAGACACATGCAGTATACCTGCTGAGCTCCTGCTGCATGCCCTCTAGGGCTCAGAACCAGGGTATGGAAAGGTCAGGCTCTGCCATCCAAGGGCTGACATTCCCAGGAGAGCAGTCAGGGCTTTGAGACAATATTGGTCCAGTGGCGACAAGAGCCCTTGCTGAACAGGTGACAGCTTTACTCTAACAGGAAGTGCAATGTGCAAGGCAGAAGCAGGGTTACCAGTCCACCTGATTTTCAGACAACTGGATAGAAGTATGTAATTTTATTCAGCATTATGTAAATAAAAAGGAAACACAACCCTACCTTCACTTATCCCTGCTCTCGATCTTGTTGAAAGGCCCAGGGCACCCTTCAGCTGGGATCTGACAGACCACGGAGTCGTCCTGGACATTTAGTCCATGTGGAACCTGGGGTGTCTCCCTGGAAGCCGGGTCCCCGCCGCCTCCGACCTCCTTCCTCCCTCCTCATCCTGCCCTTGCCCTCCTCTTCACAGAGAGCCCTCCATCACTAGGCTCGGCTCCACCTCCTCTGGCCATTGCTGCCACGGTGTGCCCAGCCCCACCCACTTCACCGCACCGGCATCCTCTCACTGCTCCTGCCCACAAGTTTGCAGACTCACCATCACACCATCTCTCCGGGATGCTCCATCATGGTCCCACCTGGTTCCCCAGCACAGGGAAACTCTGGCACATGGGACACACTCATGCTGCCTCTACTTCCTGCCAATGCACGGTGGCAGGTGGCAGGTGGCAGATGGGCCACCATCCACCATGGACACAGAGCCCACCTGGCACTGCCTACTGCTGGCCTCACTGATGTTGGAGTAAAGCCCGAAGCATTGATGGGGCCGCCGCATCCCAGGGCCCAGGTCATGGCAGCCCAGGGACTCACTGTGGGTCCCAGCTCTGCCCAGAATTCCCCAGCTGCACCCTTGACAGCCCCACTGCCTGGCCCATCTTCCCATGCACAAATCTTTCTGGGTGCTGTTCCCACTGCCAAGCGCCTCCTCCTGACCTAGATGTATCTCTGGGGTCTTATGATGCCATCTTCCCCATGAGACTCTCAAGTCAGCTTTGGTTCCCAAACCTTGCCGTGCCCTGAGCCCAGCACCAATGGGAGCATGGTGCCCATGGGTATGCTGGATGTGCTGTCATGGACCATCCAAAGGCTTCCTAAGTGACATCAGGACCTGAGGAGACAGATCCTTTGCCAGAAGCCTGGCTGGAAACAGATGCAGCGAAGGACTTGTGGCCAGGCTGTCACGTGGTGAGCACACAGTGACCTTGCTCGCCAAGCCCATCCAGATGCCCTCCAGTGCCTGGTACCCTAGGTGCCTTGACAGGCTGGCTGCTTAAGCATCTCAAAAGCATCTGCCCCCTCAGGGAGCTGAAGCAGGGTGGAGTGGCTCTCATTTGTTCCCTTGCTTCCCTGGAGCAGCTTCTTCACCCCGAAGCCAGTCCGGGCTTTTGGGTTTTGGTTTTGAGCCACCTGAGGTGTCCCTGCTCCAGGGCACTGAAGTGTGGTGGTCAGAAGATGGAAGGCCCCATTTACCAAAGGAGATGTCAGCCGATGAACAACACAGGAGCAAAGATCTGAGAACCCCACTGGAGGAAGCCTAGCAACTGCTCCTCCCAGCCCAGCCCTACACAGATCCTTCCAGCTGCAGCACACAGCTCCCATCCATGGGAGAGAATAGAGATGGGAATTGGATGCACAGCCAGTCCACGGCAGGCGCAAGGATGTGATCTCTGTTTTCTCCACCTGGAAGCCAGGCTGGAAGGAGGCAGAGGCCTTGCTAGCAGGGGTGCGGCTGGAATGGCTGTACAGGCCCTGTGTCTCTGGACTCCAGGCCCCACAGTGCCTCCAGCACGGCCCAGTCTTCTCCTGGCCAAGTCACAGTGGCTGCAATGGTCCAAAAGAGGGGCTCAGGCCTAGAGGCCAGGACCCCTGAGGCACACGCTGGCCTCTGGGAGGACTTCTCACAGGATTGTATGCACAGAAGGACAGGGCAGAGTCCCCCGGAGGCAGGGAGAGAAGGAAGACTCAGCATCCCCTGGCTCCCAGCATGAGGGGAGCAAAAGTGCAGATCACAGCAGAAGGACTGGGAGGAAGCTAGGGTGAAGCAGTGCTGGGCTGAAGTCAGTGGAGAACAAAACTGGCACAGCAAAGAATGGGGTGCTCGGGGGGGGGGACCCAGTGAACCCTCAGCCTGTTTGGACCTGTGTAGCAGGCTGAGCTGATTAGAGGGGCTCAGGGTCTGCAGGGTGGAAGACCTTTGGTGACCTCTTTTCCTCCTCCTCTCTGCCTCTCCTCTCTCTTCCTCTCTTCTCTCTCAATCTCTCTCTGGCTCTCTCCACTGCCATCCCCAGCAGGAGGCTTTCTCGAGTCCCACCTGGAGAATGAGGGAAGCGCCTCAGGCAGCGACTCCACCTTTTACCGGCAGTCAGAAGGTAAGGCTTGGGGGACTCAGTCCTGGATGTTGGGGCAGGACAGGCCCATCCCTTCCCTGGGTGCAGCTGCCCCACTCTCTGTGGCCTCCATGCAAGCCTGGCCCTTCTTATTGTGCCCACTCAGGTGAGTCATGGTGCACGTGGGTATGTGTGTCCCGGGCTGGATTCAACACTCGCCTAGGCACCTAAGGTCCGCAGTACCCACTGGGGGCGGGGACAGAGGAGCAAGCCCACTCCTGTGCCCCCAGGAGTGCCACTCGGTGATTCCCTTCCCGTTTTACTCCAGCACTACAGTCCCCTCAGAGGAGGGGCAGAGAGCTAGAGGAACTCTTGGTATGAGATGACCACTTGCACGCCACAGGTCCTCTTGTGGGGTGCAGACGTGGCCCCCTCAGCCCCTCTGTCCTCTCTGGGTGTGATGCTCCCTTTCCGGTTTCCCTACCTGGGCTGAGGCTACTTGGCAGCTGGGAAATCTGTGCATGGGTGACAGTGACTTCAGAAGAGACCAGCGTTGGACTCAGGCTGGGTGACAAAGGTCCGCTGTCCCCAGTGTGGACCAGGCATTCAGGCCTGTGCCCCAGTGCCATGTGCCAAGAGCCAGAAGGAGGGGACCTGGCTCAGCCCCTCCAGAGCCCAGACGTTGATCCTCTCCTGCCCTCCGCATCAGAGCCCCAGGTCCCAGCGCCAGACTCCAGGCTGCCACCAGGGGCCTCATTTCTCAGCCTTCGGCCCTGGGTAAATCACACCCCTGTTTCCTGGGACTGCAGCTTGCACACAGCAAGGGTGAGGAGCCTTGGTCTCCACAGAGGCATAACGTGAGCTGCCAGCACAGACAGACAGAAAGACATTTAAATAGGTAGGTGGGCAGATAGATAGCTAGGTAAGTAGGTAGACAGGTGCAATGATGGATGCACAGGTACAGCTGTGGGTCATTTCTCCTAAAAACCTTCTCCTGAAGCCTTGGCCCTCCACATGCGCAGCTCCAGTGTCCTCCCACAGTGACCTGCCATCCTGGCCCCACCCCTACCCCACACCACAGTTTGCTGCCAAGCCTGAGTGCTCCGCCTTGATTTCAGCCTAGAGCTCTACTTCCTGGGCCTTTGGGACCTGAGCCTCACACATGCTGGTCAGCCCCTCCACCACTGGGTCCTGCAGCAAGTCCTCCCTGAGCTGTGCACCACGCACCTGCTGTGTTCCAGCCCCAGCCCTTCCTTTCCCCTAAGCTCTGACTAGAGCCCCTCCACCCAAAGCTCTGTGTTAGAATGGACCTCAGTGTCCAGGGTATCCGTCAGCACCACTAGGAGATCAACACAGAAGTACACACATGTGCACACATGCACACTCTGCACATGCACAGATGTATACATTCACACACACACGTGCATATGCACACACATTCGCATGTACAGATATGCACACATGCACATGCACACAAATGCACACATGCACAGATACATGCTCACACATACACACAGGCACATGTGTATATGCGTGCACACACACACACAGATGGTGTGGCCTGCCAAGCCTCCAAGGCAGACCAGCAGCCTAAAACTCAGGCAGGAGCCAATGCCGCAGTCTGGATGCAAGCTTTCTTCTAAGGAAACCAGCTGTCCTCTCACCTGAGGGGACCAGGCCCAGCAGCCTCCAGGGGTGACCTCTAGGTGTTAACCATGTGTACAGCAGCATGCAGCTCAGGGTGTGGGTAAACAGCGGCCACCATGCTGGCCCAGCAGGTGCATAAAGCTGGGGTCCTGGGGTCATCTGGGGCCAGCTGCCCTGCCCTCCTACTCCACCCTGCCAGGAATACTGAGGAGACTGCCCTACCCAGCCATTCCCTGTTGTGCTCAGCCTAGAGCCTAGGCAGGCAGGGGATGCAGAGCCTCCTGGTCACAGGGTTGGTGGCTGCCCTGCCACCCTGTGCCTGACCCTGCAACAGAGACGCCAGGGCTAGACTTGGCCTCCACCGATATGTAGCCAGGTGGAGCTCAGTGACTGCTGGTGACAGACACTTTCGGGACTCCTCAGCAAAAAGTGCATGGAGAAGGAGAGGGCTTCTGTGACTGCAGCTTAGATATCACCAGAAGCTGCTCAGGGCATACGGCTCCCTCACTCCCAGCTGGCCCAACACACACCAGCAGGCTGCATCATGGAGCTGCAACTGGCATGGCTTTGGGGACTTCGCTACGCTTGGCAAATGTCACTTTTTGTCCACAACTGTGTCCAGAAGAGCCTGAGAGGTGTGGGCTGTCTTAGTCAAGTGACCAGGTAAAGAACCGATGCCTTCACAGCGTGCTTCCTCAGAGATTTCCAGCAGCTCACAGGAAGTCCACACGGGTTCAGTGCCACACAACAGAAGACTGTAGACAGGGACAGGAGGCCAACTATACAGGAAGCAAGACCCAGGTGCCAGCCTGCTGAGACACATGCTCTCACACCTGCTCTCCTCGAACCTCTGTGCCAAGCCCAAGGAAACTGAGGAAGGATGGGGTCTCCACAGGTACAGAGCAGGACTCTCTCTCCTCAGGGACACAGATCTTCCCCACCTGAGTTCCAGGGCCTCTGTCCCCTGGGAAGATTCTCTCTCCCACTTGGGGCCAGCTGCAGAAACATGATGACCTGTTCCCTAGCAGCTCCACAGAGGCGCTCAGAGCCACCTCAGCTTCAGTCGTCCCACTGTTGAGGTCAGGGATCCAGGACTTGGGAAACAGCACAGAGCTCGGGCCTCAGCCCTGTCGCAGTCTCACTGTGGCCCTAGGGAAGTTGCCCACTACTCTGTGCCTCCACTCCAGCTCCACAACTGCTGAGGGTCATGCTGATAGCACAGGAGAAGCCCAGGCTGGAGTGGCTCCATGGTCCCGCTCTGTGTACTTGGCTGTGTCACGGGTAGTTTTGTGGTCTCATCTCCTCCTGTGGACTCCGTGTTTGCATTAAATCTTAGGCACCATGTGGCACCCTTGTGGCACTTCATAGCCTCAATCTGTGTCGTCATGGTGATGCTGTCTGTGCAGCTACTGTGAGGCCAGGGCTTTTCCAAGGCAGTGGGTGAAGAGCTTCACTTCCTCTCGGTACCCCAGGACCAGAGGGCGGGGATGGAGAGAGCAGAAGAGTCAAGAAGAATCACAAATAACTATGTCTGGGAGGGACATGCAAGTGGGGAGAAGCCCTGTGTTGCTGGCATGGTTTGCAGTGTGTCCTGGTGTTTTGAGGAACAGACAACACATAGCAAGAAGTGTGCCCTGGAGGATTAGGGCAGTTTGTCACACCGAGGCTTCTGCCTGGGCTCATAGAGCCAGAGCCCCTAGCGGGACTTTGGGGCTTTCACGGGGACAGTGAGTGGGAGATGCACAGGCACATTTGGTGCGTGTGAGGGAGGCCTGGGTGTCACCGCGGGTCCCTGACTTGCCTTTCTCAAGTCATAGTACAAGGCTGTGAGCTGAACAGGTATGAGTTACACACAGCAAGAGCGTCCTATTCATTCCAAGTTACACTGCAAGGCCACGTCAGCTACAAAGGCAACGAAGATGGGGTTTACATAAAAGGGGCGGAGTTCTGTCATAGTCCTGCCCCTAAGCAGGCATGCTGGGCAGACTTTCACTTAAAATTTTAATTTCCTCTTTCCTGGAACTGAGAGCCTGCAGGTGGACACCATTTGCCTCCCTCCCTATTTAGAAAGCTCCCTGTGTCCTGTCTCCCACCCAGGACACAGCATGATTGACACCTTGGCGGTGGCCCTGCGTGTGGCAGAGGAGGCCATTGAGGAAGCCATCTCGAAGGCGGAAGCCCACGCAGACAGCCTGGTAGGCCCTTCTCTGGGGTGGCGTGAGGATCTGGGAGTGGGAGTCCAAGGGGCCAGGGTCCCAGCAGCTGTCCCAAGGGCAGCGCTGACTGCATTCCTCCACCCTCTCCCCCTGCAGGACAAGCAGAACGAGGCCACTTATCTGCGGGACCACCGAGAGGAGCTCACTGAGGAGCTGGCTGCCACGATCCTGCAGAAGGTAAGGGTGCTGGCCAGAGCCAGAGCAGCCCAAGGAGCAGTGCCCATGGCCAGGGCCGGCACAGGCAGAGAAGCAGCTGTGAACTGCTGGCCTGGGCACAGCGCTGACCCCACGTGCTGACATCCAAGGGTCGGTGGGCAAAGCATCTACAGCCTGGCAGCGGGCATTTGGTAAACAGGAACCACTTCCACTCCAGGCGAGGATCAGAGTTGGCCCTCAGCCCCTGGGGTTCTCACCTGCAGACTTGGCTGGCCAGGGAGGACAGTATCCAGGACAAGCATCCCAGAAAGTTCTAGGAAGCAAAGCCTGCATTTGCCATGTGCTGAGCCCCTGCTGGGTGCATGGCCTGTGGGTAAACAGGCAGAGATATGCCCACCTCTGCCTCCTCACCGCCCTCGATCCCTCCGGCTGCTCCCAAATCTCGCCACTCATGGGTCTGTGCTAAGTGTGCGGACTTCCCTGTCACTCTTCCCCTAGTCTCAGCAGTGCCATGGCATCTGCTGGTGTCTGGTAGGGTCAGCGGCCCAGGCCAGTGTCCAGGCACCCACCAAGGGTATGAGTTGCGAGCAGATGCTGCATGTCCGAGGCACCCAGGCACACAGTGTGTGCTTGAGGGGCTACAGTACTACCCCCCATGGCTGCTAACAGGGCTGTGACCCCCGGGACAGAGCTGTGCCTGCCACCCTCCATGCCCTGGGGCCTCAAAGTGACTATGTTGATTTTCCCCCAGATCATAAGGAAACAGAAGAGCAGGAGCGAGCAGCACAGGGAGGAGGAGCCCGAGTGGCCACTGCTGCGGGACTGCAGCGCGAAGGAAGAGGATGAAGGCCACAAGGCAGCCCTGGGAGACCCCCGGGTGCCCACAGCGCTCTGGGTGAGTCTCACAGCCCATGCAGAAATGGGCCCCATGTTGATGGGGTCAGAGGGACCACACAGGTGGGGCAAGGTGGGTGCAGAGGAGCAGAGAGAATGTCATCGGGAACAGGGCTTCCTGCAGCACCCAGGTCAGGAGCGGAAGGACCACTCCCTGGGCTGCATTAACCAAGAGCTGCGCTGAGTGCCCAGATGATGGCTCCACACAAGCCACCGTGCTCACCACTCAGATGCAGGCCTGTGGCCCCCACCACTACTGCCCCTGGGACTCCCCTGTGCAGGCAGAGTCAGGACGGGCCACCCCGGTGTGGGGCCTGTGGGAGTGCAGTACTGTCCCTGCATGGTAACCCTGGAGTCCCAGGGCCAGGCAGGGCCATGTCCCAAGGCCCTCAGGGCAGGCATGTCACCCTCCGGGAAGGCTGCCCACTCCCAAAGAGTCCCCTGAGAACAGCCAGGGTGAGGGCTATGGCCATGGGGCTATGTGGCCCACACTCACTGTAAGCCAGGGTCAGGCAGGTGTGACCGCTGGGGTCTGGGCAGTCACTCCCAGGAAGGAGGGGGTGGTCTGGATGGCTCTGTGGCCCCGGCACCTTTGGCTTCCTGTCCATAAATGGCGGTGATAAAATTTGGCCCAAGGACAGCACCGAGAATCCCAGGCTGGTACTTCCTACACCCCGAACCCTGGGACCCCGAGCTCCTTCTGCCTACACCAGGGTGGGCCCTGCCCCATGTGGCATCCATGGAAGAAATCCACTTTCTCCTCTGCAAGGCTGGCCCATGTGTGTGACTTCCCTGTCACCCTATCACTCTGGGGTTTAGGGGCCTGGCCAGGACCAGGCCTGGTCAGCCCTTGAGCCCAGGCTGTGTTCTATGGGGATCCAGGGGGAGGAGGGTCAGGTCAGGCACTGGGTTTGCCCCAGGTTTGCCTCTCACTCCGCACCCTAAGATGGCGCAGGCATTGTGGACATGCAGTGTGGCTGAGGCCCCGTGGGGTGTGAGCAGGCTCCTCCTTGGGGCACACAGTGGACCTGCTCCAGCTCAGAAGCCCGGATCCTCTGCTTCCCGGGAGGCATGGCGAGGGAGTGGTGGGCTCCAGACCCCATGCAGAAGTTTTGGGCTGTGTCCTCCAGCCCCCAGCCTCAGGTCTCAGCATGTACTAGGTCCAGCCCTTGGTCACCCTGACATCTCCAGGTCGAAGAAGCCCGCTGCAGACAGATTGCTTCCCTCCCTGCCCGAGCACTGTCTAGATAGAGAAGAGCTCAGCACAGGACCGGGACACAGAGATGCAGGGATCTGGCCCCAGCCTGGCTGTGGGGCACTGGCCAAGCCTCTCTGGGACCTCAGAGAACATGGAGCCCACTTACTGCCCTCTGCCCCCACCAGACCTCCCCTCCACCCCTGCCTGAGCCAATGCACTGGGTCTGGCCCAGAAGCTTCCTGGCATGGCCCCTTCTTCCTGCCCACACCCTGGGGCCAGCCCTATGGGCTCCTCCCTCCTCCACAGCCTCCAGGGACCCATGGTTCAGGGAACAGCTTGGAGACCCCCAAGCCTTCAGAAGATCGAATGCACCAAACCCCGAACTGCAGAACCCCAAGCCCACAGAACCTGAAGCCTACAGGCTGGGCCAGGCTCCACTGCAGATCTCACACTGGACCCCCCTCCTCAGCCTGGCCCCTCGCCCCTCGCCCCAGCATGATGTCCCTGTGACTCCCTCCTGGGAGTGGCCACTGCCGTGCACGGTGCCCAACAGTGTGTAAAGCAGGAGTCCTACAAGATGCCGCTCGAGACTTGTGATCCTGCGATGGCTTTGGGCACACATCTCTGTGAGAACTCAGGAGTCACTTGGCGATGCCATGGAGCTGACAATGACCTGTGCCCCACGACCCTAGCCACCCAGCTGGCTCTGTCCTGTGGCCTCTGTCTTCTTCAGCTTTCCTCACATGCCACACTTGCTCCTTTGAGCAGATACAGTTGGAACCAAAGCGCCGTGACTGCCAGGCCGGGCTCCCGGCCTCTGTCTGACCTTGACGCCAGCACCAATGGAACTGCATCCTGGCTCTTTCCCTGTGTGCTGCCCTGCCCTCCATCCTGGATGCCAAGGCCTCTTTCCCACTCTGCCTCTGCATCTCTCTCAGAGCCATGGTCAAGTGGAGCCTGTCCTGCCACGGGAATGACAGTCACAGCACTGTGGGATAGGGATCTAGGGAAGCATGAGGGAGGAGGGATGTGTCACCAGGCAGCAGAGCACACCCGATGTGCACGTTCCCGGCAGTGCCCATCGCAGATGCCTGCTGCCTGCCAGGCCTGCTTCAAGTCCTGAACAACAGGAAGCAGAGCTTGGCCTGGTCAAGTCCTCCCGTTCCCACTGGCATGAGAAGCAGCTGGTATTTACCCGGATTGGACCCCACTGTCAGTGCCTAAGGGTCGCAGGGTTGCTCCAGAGCTGTCTTGTATGCAAAGTGTCGCAGTGGCACTGCCACACCAGCCTCCCTGGCCAGGGTCCCCACTATCGCCACCCTGGGCAGCTGCAACCCAGTCTTCCATGGGCCCCCAGGCGGGCAGGGAAGGAAGAAAAGCAGGCGCCATGCAGAGTGGGAGAGTGACCTAGAGGGCGAAACCAGTAGAGCTAGAAGGACTCCCTGTTCCCGGGCTTTCCAGCCTGTGAGCGGTCACAGCTGCTCAGCTGGGCTGTGGCGCCATCTGCTGGTCTATGTGGGAACCATGGTCAAACAAGGGCACAGAGCAAGACACAGCTTCTCTGGCTGGAGGCCCAAGCAGCTGCCGCAATGTGGCCTCTGCTCTTGCCAGGGCACTCCTCTTCCCCGAGGCAGAGAATGGTTTCCCGCCACGACCAAAGCAGCCCACTGCCCACACCCCAAGGGCATGGATCCCAGCTTCCTGTTGGCCTGGAGGGGCCTGGTCTTTGCCCACCTGTCACGTGAGCATGGACCCCATGGCCAGATGCATTTTCCCTCGTGAGGTAGACCCTGAGCCCCTGCATGGGAAAGCTGAAATCCATGAGCCCACGGAGTCACGTTCACTTTAAAAGCTGGAGTGGAGACTGGTTCCTGTGTAGCTGCAATGCCATGGGCTCTTCAGCCCCAGCTGGCCTGCATGCTTGGATGTGGGGCCAAGGGGCCAGAGTCCACAGGAGCTGACAGTGTGCTTTGGTCATACAGAGTAGCCTGGCCCGGCCAGGCAGTGCCACACAGGCCAAAGTAAGATATGCCGGGCACCCCAGCCCTGAGTACAGCCCCCCACAGTTCCCTGGACCCGCCAAGTGTCCTGACCCGCCTGTGGGAACCATGTGTCCTTAGGCACCTTGATGGCACTGAGTCCTGGAACGAAGGAGAGGCCAGGCACCAGCACTCAGCCCCTGCTGACCTGAAACGCATGATTTCTGGGTACGGTGTGTAAACTCTCACTCTCCACTTATACCCAAGAAGTTGGGGGAAAGAAATTCAGGCCTTCTGAAAGTTCACCTCCAGCTGTCCCTGAACCCCATGTGGTCCAGCAGTAGCGTTGGTCCTGCCTGGGGTGGGGACATCCCCATTCACAGGATGCTGTGGTCCAGTGGCAGCCCCAGGAAGACACTGAGGGCCCCACCTGGCGTGGGGAGGGTGCTGTGGGCAGTGCCCTCAGCCTGGCCCATTGGAAATGGCATGATGTTGTCCTTCGTGCATCCGGACCAGCCGCCGCTGTCTGTCTCTGGTTCGTTGATCCTCAAGCTGCCTTCACTGGGCCTTTACTGGGGTGCAATGTGAGGCCCAGCACCCAGATCTCTCAGGAAGGACATCCAGGCCCAAGGTGCCCAGAGGCAATGTCAAGGCCTTTGATGCTGCCCCTGGGACTATGTGCACACCCATGCCCTGTGCTTCACTCTCCAGTCCTGAGCTCTAACATGGCAGAGGAGGGGGCTGCTGGTGACCAGAACCAGCAGGGGGCAGCAGGGAGCTTGGACTGCTGACTTTGTGGACTTCTTCCCCACAGAGCGCATTAGGGCAGAGAGACCAAAACAAGCACCTGGTAAGATACAGTGCTATGGTTCCCTGGCAAAGACAAAAACCAGGGTTTTATAGGGATAAAGCTCCATGTGAAATGTGTGAGTGCCCAACGGATTCCTGTGCTGGAGCCCAGCTGTCACTGCCTCTCCTCTGGCGATGTGGTTGCTCTGCCTTCTCTGACTTGGACGTGACCAGACGCTACCTCATGACTGCTGGCCACGTGGTGACGGCTCCTTGTGCTCACCCATGCACGTGTCACCATGTGACACGCCTGTTTCTGTGCCAGCACACATAGGAACCAGCGTTGCTCGTACCTCTGCTGTGCATCAGCAAGTGCCTTTCCCTGTACCAGCTCATCTCTTCCCGCCCTTCTCATCTCTTCTCCCCACAGAGGTCACAGTCTGCGTTCGTGTTCCCAGGAGGAGACCCGGGGAAGACTCCTTCCCTGGAGGCTGTGGTGAGGCAGCGCCCTGGGCAGCCGTGTGCCCTGCCCGGCTGGAGGAGCGTGGACGGACTGGATGGAACAGGTGAGGGTACACGGCAGGGCCTCTGGGCTGCTGGGTGGGGGCGGCCTGTGCCTGCATGTGCAGAGTGTGCCCTGGGGTGACTGGAGTCCAGCACATGGCAGGAAGCCTCCTCGTCCTCCTCGTGGCCGTACCAGGTGAAGCAAGCATTCAGGTGCTTCACACGGCAGTTTTCTCTCCAGCCCCCATAGTGCAACCCAATGGCCCTGGTCCTGAAGGGGCAGAGGCATCTGCAGCTCAATCACCACGCTGGGCCAGCAGACAGAGGGGCAGCTCCTCAGCATCCAGGGGAATCACACCCCAGGCCTCCATCTGCAGGCGGAGACAGTCCTGGGATCCCAGGCTGTCCAGGGAGGGTGATGGCACTGGCCTTCCCTGCCCACACCTGGTACACAGGGGCTACATAAGGAAGCCAGGCTTGCACGAGTGTCCTCAGGTGAGGAAATGGGAGCCTATCTCATGCCATGCAGTGTCAGATCCAGACCCCTTTCCACACCAACAAGGACAGACAGACAGCAAGATAACCATCCTGGAGTGAGCCCTTAAAGCCTGCTACTTTCCTACCCTTCGAGGAAAACAATTTGAGTCAGGAGTTATCTAAATGCAGCACAGGCACTAGAAACATCCGGTATTTCTAACTGCAGCCTCGAGATTCCCAGAAAGGACCATGCCTCGCTGACCCCTTAGTACCTAGGAGCAGGAGCGGCAGGGCCAGACATCACAGCAATTCTGTAGCATGCAGTGTGTTCTTCCTTGTGGGCTGGATTTTTGTTTAAAGTGCATTTTCCAAATGTCTTGATACCCTTTCTTTCCCCTGCTGGACAGCACACTTGAATTCACTCACCCCTCATTCTTCTCAGTCCTTCCCCACAAAGGACGCCTCGGTGCTGCAGGACCCCAGTGGGTCCCATAAAGTCAAGTCCCCTACACAGAACTGCCAGCCCCCAAGATCCCTGCCACGCCCTGTTTCACTTCTCCCCAGGCACTGCCAGGCACTGCAGCCACTGTGCTTGGCAGAGGAGGGCGTAGTGGGCAGCCAGGTCAAGCGACTTCTCAGGACCACGGCTGAAAGTGTAGAGTGGCAACGCAGACCTTGAACCTACAGAGTGATGCATCTCAGGGTGTTATGAAAACCTCCTCAGGACTAGCCGTGTCACAGCGTAACCTGCCCTGGATTGTTGGCACACCTCATGAATTTGGAAAGGGGTTTTCTCTGGGTACTGGATATTAAGCCCAGGGCCTTGGCATTGAACCCCACTGCTGGGTCCTTTTACTTTTTTTCATTTTGAGACCAGCTCTCACTAAGTTGCTGAGTTGCCTAGGCTGGGCTACAACTTGCACCCTCCCGCCTCAGCCTTAGAGTGTTGGGATTACAGTCATGTATCACCACACCTGGCTAGGAATTTTGTTTTCCCATTTTTGGGCATAAATTTCTGTAAAGTAGGCACTAATATCAACTGCATATAAACATGTACTTAGCTCAGTAACATCACTCACAAAAAGGGTTTGCTCAAACATTCTCACATATCTCAGGATGAAGATATAAAATAAAAAGCCACTTAGGTAGAAACTTCTGATTTTCTGGGGAATGCTCAGCTCCAGACATTCCAAAATGTCCCTGCCAGTGCTAGAGCCTCAAAGGAAGTGTGATATTCAGCAGGACTCATCATTCACGGAAGTGTGGCTCTATCTCCTCCACCTCGAGGGTGAGGCACAGAGCAGGAAAGCGCTCTGGAGGTCAGGTTGAAGGTCATGGCCTTGGGGGGTCTCAGCAGCTGCATCTGACCTGGAGCTGACCTGGAGCTGCGTCTGACCTAGGCTGGTGGCTGACCTGGAGCACAGCCCCGTGCAATCAGGGGACCATGACCTGGGTCACACGGCAGGGTCTCCTGCAACTCTGCTGACCTGCAGCTCCACAGACCTCCACAGACACAGACTGAGTGTGCCCAAAGGCGCTTCAACCCTGTGACCTGAGACAGCTTCTGCCGAGGACACTACAGTGCTGTGCATCGGGGAAACAGGTCGGAGCCCTGTGCTGGTCTCCAGGACTCGCCAAGCAGTGTCACATGACAGAGTCAGAATCTGGACAGAGCCATGGCAAGGGCAGCTGGTCCGAGGGCTCTCCCTGGATGAAGGCTTCCTGTCATCCTAGGGGTACAGCTGACACCCTTGTCTTCTCAGGTCAGGTGTTGGAGCCAGGAGTGTTTTTGCAAAGTAGGGCGGGGTTCTACCGAGATGAAAGTAGCAGGTTTCCAGCTTCCACAGAGAGCAATGGCCCTGAGGTCCTCCCCTAGAGGGGAGCTGGAGGGCAAGGACCTCACCTGTGCACACTAGGTGTAGAGTCCGAGGACCATGTTTCCAGTGTTCTGGGCACTGAAGCCCTGGGACATGGGGTTCTGGATTAGTCTGTGGCCCCAGACTTCACAGTGGACAGGAGCTGCCCTGAGCTCCTTGGTGCAGTGTTCAGTCGCCTTTTGTGCCAGGATGGATGAGAGAAGCAAGTCGACAAGGCCCATGCCCAGGGCCTTGCAGCCAATTGGGCAGTGGACAGCCTAGGTTTAGAACGAAGACTTCGGGTGGCTCAGAGAACCATGCTGCTGGCTCCTTGGGCAGGACCTGAGGTGCATCCCTGAAGATGAAGTCCAGGGCAGGTGTGGAGGACACCAGGCAGCAGGCTCCATGCCTCGATGAGCCCAAGGGCCTTGCTCCTTTCTGCAGGGTGCACCCTCCGTGGCGTCAGTTTTGTGTTGTGGCTATGTCGAGTTCCCCCAGAAAAGGGGTCTGATGCAAGGCCATGAGCCAGCAGACACAGGCAGAGGCAGCCGGGAGTACCTGTCAGTCCCTCCTTGTCCCCGAGGAGCTGGAGAAGCCCAGTAAGAGCCTCTGGTCACCTGGCCCAGGCCCTGGAATGAGCCATCGGAACCGCCAGGACGCAGGCTTTTGTTCAGATGGGATGGGGAGCAGAGGACAAGGGTCCGGCCTGGTGCTCCAAGGGCTGCACAGAAGTGGTGCTGCTAGTCGGGGAGGACTTTCAGACTTTTCCAGGACAGGCGGCCCACGGAGGTCAGATGAGCTGGCCACCTCCCCAGGCATGTAGTCAGGGAGCACGACACAGCTGCACAGTCCTAGACAATGACCCCGACAGCCATGCCTGTGTCCTTCGGGTGCACAGGGGCTGCGGTGACCAGAGTTAAATGCTGTCCATGACCCAGGTCCACGGCAGAAAGCAAAGACAGGAGGAAGCCACATGACTGGCCCTGTGACCAGAGCTCTGCATTTCATCTTCCTGGTGATGGCTACAGAGTCACCCACCCAATAGGCGATGGGTGGGGAGGATTGGGCCTGTGCCCTGCCCTGAGCATGACAGAGGAACTCAGGCAGAGCTGCCTTTGGGGCACCAAGGTATCTCCTCGACTGTTGGTGCAGGAGGAGGCATAAGACTGGCTCCCACCAGTCTTACTCTGGCATAAGTCTGCTCAGAGTACCCCGAATCACCATCACCCCCAACAAACCAGCAAGGTCTTTGCTCCCTTCTCACCCGGAGGAGAAACTGAGGCTCGGGAACCACACAGCTACGGTGACTGGGAGCTTCTTCCTAGGCATGGATGTGGAGACCTCGGTTCTCTTCATGGCACAAACTGGCTCATCTGCCTCCAGGACAGAGATAGGCCTGCCTCAGCCTGGTCACCTAGATCCAACCAGGTCACTACAGTCAGCCAGAATGTGCAGGGGCCATGGAGGAGGGGCACAGGAAGACATCTGGAAACAGGAAGAGGCATTCGAGGGGCTGCGGTCCCTGCTTGGCGTGGTAGAGATGGATGACACAGGAGGGCAGGTAGGCAACGGCCTGGCTGGGCTCCCCACCTCCAGACCTGCACCACGGTGGATGGCCAGAGAGGAGCGTCCCTCCATCCATGGCTATGAAACCAGCGGACAAGAATGAACTCTGGAGACGTGCACAGTGTGCTGCTTTCGGTCCTCCTCTTCACTGAGACAAGTTAAAGGACGAAAGGTTTACTTGGCTCACACTCTGTAGGGTTTCAGGCTGCAGTCGGCTGCTGCAATGCAGGGGTGGGACAGCAGACGGCCATCACAGAGAGGAAGCAGCCCACAGCAGACAGAAGAAGACAGCAAAGCCAGCGAGGGCACTGAGCAGCCTTTTCTGCCCCTTTTATATTGGACTAGGATTAAGCAGTGGATGGGTTTGGTAATCACACACTTTAACCTCACACCCAACCACACCCTGGACCCAGCCACCTCGCTGTCCCCCACGAGGTCCTCACCTTAGCTCACCCCATATCCTCCTCTGTGGATTCTGTGGAAAATTCCAACTTCTGAGCCTCAGCCCTTTCCAGATGGGAAAGGTATGGAGCTTCAGAGCCTTTCACTCATGTCCCTGAAGATTGTGGGAAAATCAGGAAAGTCCCTGGTAGAAGCAAGATTGACAGGGAGAGGAACGAGTTGTTCTCTGTGATCGACAGGAAACTTAGGACTCAGAGAACAAACATGGCCAGAGGTCAGACAGCTTGCCTTGGGAGGGCAATTCCTAGGGGGTCGGGGGGGCTTCAGGATCCCCTCTGATAAAAGCTGTGCCCCAGCTAGGCCCTCCTCTCCCCCTGCAGGGTCAGCTGAGGCAGGGACACTCGCTGCTTCTCCTTTCTGTGTACAACAGCCTGTTGCTCCCCCCGACCAGGTGCAGCCCCAGTTCTCCAGAGCCCCGATGGGAACTGGGTGGCCCTGAAGGATGGCGCAGCACCCCCTGCACACCTGCTGGCCACGCGGAAGAGTGCGACTCTGCAGGCCCTGGAGGTGACATCCCGAGCATCATCTGCATATGAGGGGCTGGGCTCTGACAGTGAGGAGGACTTTGACTGGAGCATGGCCTTGGGAGAGCTGTGTCTACAGCCCCAGAGTAGCAACCACGGCCCCCTGGCTGCCTCTCCCTCTCCGGCAGCCTCCCCCAACCCTGAAGCCATGGGCTCTGACTCTGAGTCCTCCGCTGGCTGCTCCCAAGACTCAAGGCACGGGGCCAGGCCCTCCTGGCCACCCAGGAAGGCTCCCTGGAATCCTGCAGCAGAAAGGGTGCACCTGCAGGGCGAGCTGGACGTGAACTTCAACCTTCAGGCCGCCGGTGGGAACACCTCAGACAGTAGTGAGCCTGAGGAGGCCCCCCATGAGATGGACCAGCAGGCCAGGCGGTGGCACAGGGCATGCCTGGACCCCAAAGAGCAGTGCACCCCTGATTCCCACGCTGTACACCCCCACGTACACCAGGTGAGATACAGGGTCTTCCCTGGGCGTGGCTGCCCCATGCGGGCCTGGGAGGCAGGGTGTGGAGTCCAATTCAGGTCTCCTCCTGGTCCAGGTCTTGCGGCTCAGTGCCCTGGCCAGGTCTCTGGCCCCTGGAGCCAGGTGTAGGCAGCAGGGTGGTTTTCAGCTGTGGCTCCTGGGCACTGCCCATGGGTATAGCAGCAAGGGGACAGATCCAGCTGGGAAGCTTTGGGCCCTGGCTCCCCTCTGGGAAGCAGACTGATGTGGCCAGCTCATAGGACACTGAGACAGGGAATGGCCAGGCTCAGAGCAGGGGCAGCAGATGCTCAGGATGGTCATGCAGGGTGGTGACCAGTGACCTGCACACACATGTGATCTGTGGTTCAGCATAGCCCTCAGCATCTCCCACAACTCTGCTCAGCTTGGAGCACTGTGGAGTTGGAGATGCGGTCAGAGCTATGAACACCCTTCAGGGAGATGCATGCCACACACTCACTCATGCACTCACACACACTTATGCACTCAGAGCACACACTTATGCACTCACACAGTACACACTCGTGTGCTCACATTCCCATACTGACGCACACCACACACTCACACTCGTATGTGCTCACTCACACTGATGCACTCATGCATGCTCGTATACACACACACACTGACACTCAAAAACACTCCGACTGTTACAGTCTCACTTGCATACTCACAGTCACATGCACCACACTCACTCACATTTATACACATACATGCTCACACACCCCAGTCATATTCTCATGCATGCTTACACACTCACACACATACTCCACAAACTCACATGCTCACAGATGCTCAGAGACACCACAATCACACTCACCCACATTCTCACAAACTCATGTGCTCACATGTGTTCACACACTCATATACACATTCATACTTATTCACAGACACATTTACACTCACACAGACTCTCTCTTTACCCTCACTAGCATGTCACAGGAGAGTACACTTGGGCACTCACATGCATGAGTCTCTCGCTTGCAGTTTCCACTGGCTGTGGCTTCCCCTGGAATGACCCTCCTGTCCTCTGCACCCTCTGCTCTTCACATTTGTGTGGCCTCCCTGCAGCAGGTTTTCCAGACCTGGGAGCAGTATCCATGGCCAAGCCATGAAAGTGCCCCATGGGGCCGCATGGAAACCCTGTCCACCTGGCACACATGTCTGGCGACCCCATCCCCTTCCCGTGTCCATGTTGCACCCCAGCCCCCACATTCAGTGTGGGGGTTAATATGGGGGGACCTAGAAGCCCAGGGTGGATGGGAACAAGAACAGCTGGACTTGCAGGGAGCAGGCAACAGAGCCTGACACGGTCCCCACAGAGATGCTAGGGGAAGCAGGGACACAGCTCGGCTCCCACCAGGGCCCTACTCACCGTCGCTCCCTGGTAGATGGCTGTCCCAGATCTGGGGATCCCCACCCTGGGGCCCTGGGAAGCTGGCTGCAGGCTCAACTCTCAGGTTGCAGAATCGAGCCTCCTTCCTGCCTGACCGGATGACCTGTACTAGAACAAGGCCGATTTAGTCCAAGCTCTGGTCTCCCCCTGTGCTCAGCCTGAGGTCATTCAGTCCGCCTTGGGTTGTTAGAGTCCCAGGTCAGTCCCAGGACTGCCAATCATGGTTTTCCAGCCCTGGTAGAGACTCTCCCCAGGCCTTGGGGTGCTGGGTCTACAGGTTCCCAAGTGCCATCTAGGAGACCTCCTTAAGGTGTCCATGCCTCCCGCTGATCAGAGTGCTGTGAAACATGCTCGTGTTCTCATGTGGACTTCCCTAGCAAGTAGCCTCAGCCTGGGGCCATGTCACCTGTCCTGCCAGGGCAGCAGGCCCTCAGCAGCAGGAGCAGCAAACCCTGGCCCTCACTCCTCCCCAAGTTTACCCCAGTGAGCTTTTCTCTTCTCCAAAGCAATCAATACTGTGACTTATGTGGATTGTTAGTTACATAAATAAGTCACTATGAGACAAATGAACATAATGTAAAAGCATGCATCAGTGCCCCGTGACCACAACCCAAGTCCCTGCTTCAATCTGCCTGAGTGACCCGCAGAGTCCTTGGTGACCACCCTTGTGTGCTGTTGTGTGTAGAAACAGTTCCGACCGCGTGCAGTTTCAGCAGAATTGGCACCGTGCTCCTAGGTGCTTTCTCCTCTCCATCATGGAACAGTGGCCACAAGGACACATCCCACCTGGTGCAGGGCTCCCAGCAGGTGGCATCACAGGCAGACAGGAGCCAAGTACATGCGTGATGGGGGCATGCAGGCTGGAGAGGAGCTTGAGGGCGGGAGGCCAAGCTGAGGCCAACAGTCGGGCTGCACCTGAGGGTCCCCTGTGGCCCTCACACATGCTTCCCTGGCGGCAGTGTCCAGTGCCCTGCTCTCGGCTCGCTGTCCCACAGCCAGAGCGATGGCCGCTTGGGGACTTCTCAGGGTTCTGTGTTGTAAATGGCACGGCCAGCTCCATCCTGCTGACCTCCATCTGGAAGCCGAGCTGCCGACATGTGGAGCTTCAGGTACCAACTCACCATGCTGCGCACTCAGCCCCCAGGCCCCTGCCCAGCCCTGCTGTGAGCTGTGTGTGAGCACGTGCGTGAGCGTGTAAGCATGTGAGCGTGCAGGTGTCACAGGCTGGAAGCAGCAATGCTGCTGGCCCATTGCATCTCACCCAATTTTATCTAAGAAAAACACTTTTTGGTTACACTGTCATAACCACCACTGAGATTGAGTAATTTTTCCTGTGTAAGACCTTTTGCATTTTCTTTTCTATGGAAAGCATATTTATATTTTTCATCTGTCATTTTATTGGATTACTTTTTTTGCTGATTTTTAGACATTAGTTTCATTTTCTAGTTGCATTACCAATTTTAGTTGTTTGATGGTTACACATGGAAATATTGTCACTTTTTTTCCTTTTTGGGGGGATGGGGGGCTTAATTCTCCCTTCCTTTCTCTTTCTTTCTCTTTTCAGCACTGAAGTTGGAAGCCTTTGTGCCAAGCTGCACGTATCTCCAGCCCTTTTTTATTTTCTGTTCTCGCTGTTGAGACAGGGTGCCAGCTTGCACAGGCTGGCCTCGAGCAAGGGGTTCTCCCAGCTCAGCCTCTGGAGTAATAGGACTACGGGCATCTCTGCCACCCTTCCCACCTTTGTCTTGACTTTAAATGTATCTTCTCTAGAAGACCTTTCCTTATGAATAGCTTGTCAATTATTTAATGCTTTTGTATTTTGTACCTGTTCTGAGGCCGCGAACCCTCAGTTGTGAAACTTTCCCTGATGCTCTGTGGTTTTCATTTTCCATGTTGCACTTTAGTTTGTCTGTTCTTAACTTTTCCAGGTAGGAGGTAAAAACTGAGTTTTTTCAGATTATTTGTCACCAACCATGGTTGAACAATCCACCATTGCTGCCAGTGTCAGATCCCTTTTATTGTGGCAAGCTGGTTTTCCCATTTTTGCTGTCTGTTTCTGCTGTGATAATCCTAAGGCGCTGCTGCCTGCTGGTGACCTTCCCAGAGCAGCCATCCAGGTGGTTCTTGCATCATTTTCTAAAAGTGTTTTGCATTTCTCAATCCTTTACTCACTAAGTGATTTTTAAAATCTGATCTTCAGCTTACAAAGCACCTTTTTTAGGTGTTGGTGAAGCGTCCCAACAGATCTATCTGAGAGGAACTTGTGTCTGTAATGCCGTGGCCTCTGCTTAGGAGCGTGATACTTAGCTCCCTGGGTAAAGTGTCACAGAGTTCCTTCAAAGCAGTGATACTCTTCTTGCTAAGTAAATTTTAATTATGGTATCCGCTTTGTTCATACAGGCGACGAGATTTTTATCTTTCCGCTAGCGTGGCCATAGCCACTGATTTCTGTGTTCAGCTTTTGTGACCCGGCACCCATGGATTCTCGTGAGCCCCAGTCTCTCGGTGCCCTGCTGGCTGCACGGTGGCAGTGCTGTTGTCTGCAGTCCGTGGCCCTCTGCCTGCTTCTTTCCATTGCTGGTGCCCATTTACCTCTCGTCTTCCCGTCCTGGCACCGACCTGTGGATGGCGCTGGCGCCCAGCTCTGTCCTCAGGACCCGCCCTGCTCTGAGTACCTCACTCTGGTTTCCAGGGTGGTCAGTCGGGACTGTGGGCATCGTTCTGTCAGCTGCCCTGGCCACCCACAGAGGGGCAACCACAGTGAAAACCTAATTTATATCTTAGCATCTTGAATTATATGAACATATTTCCTAATTCTTGAGTCATCCTCTCACTTTGCTCATACGTCATGCTCGACCGTGGCTTCTTCTGTGGAAACCCCACTCTGCTCCCTGAGTCCATGTTCCACTGTCCCACTCTGCTTGGGTTTGGGTTACACCACTGACTGGGCCTGGACCCTATGTTCCGTGTAATTTGCTAGAACACTTCGGGTGTTCTAGCAAACACCTTGGGTGTTCTCCGGACTGGGGAGAAACTGCACTGGCTGCCTCTTGCTGGGCAGAGCTTTGATCTTTGGGGATCTCTCCCTTGTTCATTAAGCTGTTTAGATTTATAATTCTTAAATGCACCTTGGTAATTTGTAGTTTGATAGGAAATTGTCCATTTCACCTAGATTTCCAAATTAATTGACGTCTTATTATACTCAATATTCTCATTGTGTGTGTTTTCAGTTCTTATACACTACAGCTAAAACCTCTCCATTTAAAACGTTAGGTTCTCTCCCTCCCCCACCCCTGTCTCTCTCCTTGCTTGGACCTATCAGGCCCATTATTTTCCTAGTATTTTCAAAGAAGAGCTTTTAGTTTCATTCATAATACTAGGGATTTTTTGTTTATTTCTTAGTTTCCTAATTTCTGCTTTTATACTTATTAATACCATGCTTTTACTTTTTGTTTTCATGTGTTTGCTCATTTCTTCTAATACAATGGGACTTTCATACACAAACTTAATTTGTTCCATGATCCTGGTAAAGATGATGACATTGGTGTTCATGCAGGAAAGATAACTACAGTCA